CAGCCACCGCGGCTTCCACAAAATGGCATTGTGTATGTGACATATGTTGTAATATACAGATAATTTCGCTTAACCTTCTTCACTATCCACGTTGTGTTAATAGTTCAGAAAATGTTAGCGACATCACATGCAAATAATCGATAAATCAAACTTCAACACCAGAGAAAAAACATTCTTCATTATCTGCCGAAACAGATTCCTTTGGTCGTAAAAAAAAAAAAATACTAATGAAAGTGATTTGAATGTATCACTGAAAAGTAATGACTGAAGTCCAGAACAACCTCTGTCTAAGTGCATCAAAATGCAGCCCACCATCAGGCCTACCCGATCCTGTTAGTCGTCTCTTGCTGAAGACAAATTCTAGCCGGGATGTTCACGTGTCCATCGGTCAATAGGGACCCATGTATCCCTGAAAGAAAAGCTAAAACACTTCATCCTCGGCAATACAGAAGCAAAGGTTACACATTCAGTTGAACAACCATTATTTTCTCTTTCCGTTTGAAATACATGTATATGTGTAATATGAAATACTTATTTAAACCAAAATAGATATGCCACAGAACCATCATTATCTCCACATCAGTGTCAGTTCTTATGCTTTGCTTCTTTTGTTTGACACAGTGTGCAATTTACCTGAGGTATCGCAGTAACATTGGATGGGAGATGATGTGTGACTAATCAAAAGGAATAAGTGTGATTGAGTCTGACATTTCCACCTGGCCTTTACGACTTCCTTTGATAAATACGCCGCATCTAGGGATCCTAGAAGTTAAATGTCACGACCCATTGTTTGCAATGTCCACCAGACTTTCCCGACAAATCTCGAAACTTATTAAAAGGGTTTGGCGTTCTCATATGGTAATCTCTTCAGGGAAAACCCGCTTAATGTGTCGCGGACTCGCCAGTCAACGAAAAATGAGACCTATTCTTACTCTGAGGCAAGCAGCCATGACAAATCTTCAAACTATTTTTATTAAACGAGCTTAGGCGCCTCATATTGGCCCCTTTTGGGATATAGGAACTAATGTGTGTAATGCACCATCAGGCAGGCTCGCGCCAGCCTCTGTAGTTCCTGCCATTCAAATCTGCACCAGATGTCTCTGGATGATAGTTGACGATGTCGTAATCCCTTCTGAGCCAACCACGTTGTCGGCAATGCTTTATAAGAGTATACACCGTATGTGCGTTGAAAGATGTCCCGTGTGTCCTCGTCTTTGATATCAAATATCGATTATTTTCCGGCTTTGTTATCTGTGGTCAAGAAGTGAGAAAATGTCAGAAGCAGTGTACTTTGGGGAATCACTCCGAGACGCCCGTGTGCGTGATTATCGATCCCTGCAAGTTCTTTTCGCGTTAAATAACGCAGAAATACCTAATATTCTTGTACAGGTTGAATGAGTTTGTGATAAGGCTATTACGTATATCTTCGCATCGTTAAGGTCGACAGTTATGTCATCGACATTAAATGAAGTGGTTTTTCAATATGAAGGATACTGAAATAATTTCAAAAGTGGTCTTTGCTATGTATTTATTTTGTTGAACCTTACTTTTAAAAGCCGCTTTGAAGCTGAATGAATACACAATGCTAGATGACTGAATGTATTTTAAAGACGTGGCATGATGTATTGTGATACGATGAAAGCCATCCTACAACTCTTTTATGAAAAAAGACAATGTAGGGCTGTTTCCCGTATTGTTGGTAAAGGTCACTGGTGTTTTCAAACTCATAATGCATGTTGCAAATTCATGAAAACTTTATACAAACGAAAGTAGCAAACAAATATTCTTCGGAAACTATTTTGAAAAGAGTGTATTGTGACACAAAGTTAGGCCATCTTTACCAGTTGACGTTCTTTCTCACACACATTGCTCGGGTTTGTGATACGTTCTCCGACTGTGCTCCACTACGACGATCGGGTGGGTCTGTAACGTTATGGTGCTTTCAATCACTGGTTTGTTTGGTCCAGACAGTGACAGCTGTTATAATATTGCTGACATTGACTGTATACGTCCTTCATTGGCATACGTCATTGTTTCGAATGCACTCCAGCCTTGAACAAGTTTGCTTCTAACACCTTTGTTATTTTAGGGTTCTCATTGGTCATAAACACGTAAATTGTTTTTTGTTGTTTGGTCTTTGAGACTTACTTGTAACTCACCTCAAACAGTTTCTCAGGCAGGGGTGTTTCATGGTATGTTGTCCGTGAACAGTCCGAAATAACTGTAACAGTTTATTTCATGAATTGATTCAGGGATACCAAGGTTTATACACTGCCCCCAGACGTGTTCAGACACTGTATATGTCGTATGAAGTATTATGTCGCGTGTTGAGGTTGTTGTTTTGAACTTTTAGACCGACTTATAGTTCACGTGAACACTATTGGGTCTGTAACTTGATGATGCTTTCAGTCACTGGATTGTCTGGTCCAGACAATGATAACATATCCTCGTACAACTGTTATAATATTGCCGACTTTGACTTTAAACAATAGTCATTCACCTTTAAGGTTAAGTGTTTCTACTCGATTCTGTAGCTGGAAAATTGTACATCTATGTCACTGATTTGCTTTTCTCAGATTCGATTTACAGTGGTTGATGGTCGAGTGTGCGTCAACGCTGCTGTATGTAAACTAGTATTTAAGATATGCCACGCCGGTTTATCTTAATGTTGGAAAAAAATCCGAAGTGACTGAATTAGATTCTGAGTACGTGACTGATTGTGTTTTAACGCCGCTGCTTCCAGTATCCCAGCGGTATCACATCATGTCAGGTTAATGGGGGAGGAAAGCCCGGAGTAACGCAAGTCTCAGACGTTTATCACTTAGGTTAAAACCCCAAAACGTTTGTATGGCGATGACCTAGGCTTGATTATAAGTATATCTATTGTGTCCCCACCATGCAACGGCGACACTGGACTTCCATGCTTTTATTCTTTGGTTTCCCTGGTCTAGACTGGATTATTAACATATGGTCGTGGCATTGCTTTAATATTGCTCGCAGCGACCTTAAACAACACTCCCCACTTTGTGAGTTGTGCTGTTTCCAATCACGTTAAAAGTTAATGTGGGTGAGTGGACGTCATATTTGAGTACAGAACATTCTTCTCCGTGTTGGGAATAATATAACCTACAGCCACCTAGTCACTACACAATGCGCCATTCCGCCGCCAATTTCCATGTTACCATATAGCACCGAAAGAAACATGAAACATGACTTCCAATTCGCCAAATAACATGTCTGATATTAAACCAGGAACCAGGACTTTAAAAGAAGAAAATTCTTGAGCGATTCAGTGCGTACGAGATCTCAGACAACAACGCAACCATGACCGAGGCCGCCACAAAGATGGCCAGATAGCCCAATAAATAATATATCCACTTATCCCCAGGGGCTTTGGCGTCAGATCTGTAGATATTAGTAATAGGTTTTTATTCCCTAAATGACGTGTGTGTTGATGTGTGCAGCCCACGTGGCACTCAACAGCATATGTCGTTTTACGACAGTTTATCTAAATTGAAAATATCAAACGAGATTTTAAAGTAATTATTATGTATATTCTATTTCGTTAATGCAATATACGTAGAATAATAAACAATGTGTATAGCTGGGTCTGTGTGAATGTGTCCGTTGGGATTGTGCTGAGTCGATTATCAGACGTGGCAGATTGCTAAACACAGTGAGGTCTACGGGGTTGTGTCCCTGTGGATTCCACTAATGCTGGATGGTGCGTTATGGGCACATTTAACAGTGTACTCTGTCACAGCTGAAACAATTTAATAACGGTTTCACACATACGTTTTTACAAACGTCAGGATCAGTCGATATCTTCTATCACTTAGCAGAAAGTATGACCAGGGCGCCGTTGTACAAAGCAACCTTAGCGCTACGCCAGTCGTAAGTCTAAGGAATGGGAGTTACGATCTTAGCGCTACGCCAGTCGTAAGTCTAAGGAATGGGAGTTACGATCTTAGCGCTACGCCAGTCGTAAGTCTAAGGAATGAGAGTTACGATCTTAGCGCTATGACAGTCGTAAGTCTAAGGAATGGGAGTTACGATCTTAGCGCTACGCCAGTCGTAAGTCTAAGGAATGAGAGTTACGATCTTAGCGCTACGCCAGTCGTAAGTCTAAGGAATGAGAGTTACGATCTTAGCGCTACGCCAGTCGTAAGTCTAAGGAATGGGAGTTACGATCTTAGCGCTACGATTGCGATGTACAACGACACCCTGGGTACTAGGAACTCTTCTCTACCATTTAGATTATTGGTTACTGGATGTTATTTGGCACCAGTGTTTCAGTTTATTTTTACATTTAGCAGACAAGGTTCTTATTTGTTCTTTATCCGTCAGACCTCATAAGGTCTGGTGACTTTAATGTTAACAATCAAACGGTGTTATCTTTTCATATATACTTGCGAGGTTTGGTCGAACGCTGATTGCGGAGAGTATTAAATGGACCTGTATTGATTAAATGCGATAGTGTCAAAATGACTCTATTTTGCTTCGTGTATTAGAAACAACTTAACGATTTGTTCCAATGTTTTCATTTCGCCTCGACCTGATTGTCATCCGTTGTACGACCTTCATTGACACACGCCATTTTACCCCAGTATTGAACAAGTTTGCTTTGATTGTTTTTTGCTATCTTTAGGGTCATAAACAAAATAATTGAACACGCATAAATTGATTTGTTGTTTTGTGCTTTTAGACCGAGTTTTAGCTGACTAGTAACAATTTCCCAGACAGGCGTCTTTAATGGTACAATCTGTGACACTTCATTGGGAGGATTGACACATGGATGAAGATATGTATAGCACACACAACGTCTTCCATGTCACAGAAACTGTTAATATTTGGTACATATAATGATCCAGAAATAACGATGACGTTACATGACGCACGATGAGATAGTTTAGTTTACGCCACTTTTAGACGCAATATTACATTGTGATGTAGAATCACGATGCTATACATGAGGCTTCTGAAGTTTCAACCAAAGATGTAAAAAGATCTGAGACCAGCACCACTGCAGGCATTCCTATTACATCAAACTGATCATGATATGCTGTGATATAACTAGAATAATGTTGACAGCAGCGTTTAAACTAACTCACTATGACTCACTCACTCACTCACTCACATACTCTGAATTCGCTCAATGAAAAATATTTTTAACAAACAAATGACCCCACAAAGCCCAGCACCAACTCTTCAAGTCATACAAACATGTATAGTTTTATGTTAATACAAACTCTCCCGCCATACCATGTTCACCTCACGACATAAAGTATCGCGATACATCGACATTCCGATCATCTGTTTTAGACGTAGCTGATACACTGCAGTACATTACCACAACTATAACGATGTCATCATTCTTCTTCCTTTGTTCCAGCGGCTGATGGAGAGAATGTAAACATCACATGCGGAGGTACGTTTGTGTACAAAAACATAAATTAAAATATTCATTTTCCGGGTCCCCTTCCACGAAGCGGCCTTAGTGCTGTAGGAAGCTTAAGAGTTCAACGTCAACGTTCAAGAGATTTCAACGTCATGACGTGAACTACAAGAGTAGGATGTTTACTTGAGGGCCAATCACTATTAATACATGTATTATACCTAAGGCATTAGTGTCACATATTACCATATTAGCTCATACTTTAGCATCTCAGACGTTCATGCCTGTTGTATTTCCTGAACAGTTTTTTCGTAACTTACGTTTAACTATTTAGGAAACCTATTTTTGTTATATCATATATATTGTTTAAGTGAAAAGATGGTATTTTAGTATCTCGGATTCCTTTAGGACCATTGCATTTGTGTGGCAAGTAACTCTTTTAGTTAAATCTTAACCAGTTGGTACGTTACTGCCTGAATAGAAAATATATGCCAAAATATTTAAAGTATATCTCTACAAGAAGTTCCCTTCAGTGGAGAGATGGTAAAATATATTTATCATTTGTCAGATTCCGTTTCAATGTTTGACAATGAAATGCTCGAAATCTACACTGAAACAAAATCGACTACCTTTAGTTGTTTATGTGTGCGGAGTTTTATGTTGCCAATGATAACTTTAGTAGTATTGTCAAACTTTCGTTTTAATTATTAGCAATTCTGATCCTTTGGTAGAATCTAAACTCTATCATAAGACAATAATTATGACAATAATATATGTAATAAATACCCCTGTCACAATCTTAGACTTTAATTTTGAATGTACCGTTTTCAGTTCGACAATGGAGAGACAATGGCCTCGCTGGTCTTTCTGTTTTGTTTCAAGTCTAACACTGATAATTTAATTTTCATTTCCATGGTAACGTTTCATTGTTGTTGAAATATGGTACAATGGATACCAAGTGTACATGTATCCTTTATACAAAATACAAAATCTTATGATTATGTTTGTCTTTGTCGTAGAACCCGATCGTGAGACTACAAAGATCGCGACAACACCGACGGGGGCCATACTGGGAGAACAAGGTAATACATTCATTACACATGGACCTTAGATAACAGTTCTAGCGATCACTTTATGGGCATGGCTAAACCATGATGAGTATATAGATAACATCCCTCTCTCCGTAACGGAAAGCCTTCATTTCCGAATCGTCACCCAAAACAGACGTACACAATAGATCGACACAGGTCCATGGGTGCTGCGGCACACTATTTCCAATGTTTATATTTATCGATTTCATTTCTACAGAGAGAGAGAGAGAGAGAGAGAGAGAGAGAGAGAGAGAGAGAGGGGGGAGCTTAACAAAACCCTTATATAAGTGTGTGTCATGATTCCAACAACCAAGCTTCCAAAACCGCTGCCACTGCTTGAACATTCACTTTTAGAGATGACGTCATGGACCTATACAGGAGCATAGATTATTTAATCTTAGAATAAATATATTTCAATTTATCTTAATATGAAGCATCAATTAATTTTCAGTTGATATTTAATACAACCTTCAATAAGTTTCAATTATTTTAATATTAATTTGGTGTAAGTTACGACTTTACAGATTAACTTTGACACATCTAGTACAAATGTTTGCTTCACAGGTTATGGATTCTGGCCCTTGGTGTTCACAGCATGTGGAGCTGTTATCATGTTATCCATTGTTATCGTCGTGTGTGGAATCTGGTGGATATGCAAATACAGGTAGGGTCAGTATAAACATACCTTGATACTGGGTTTCTACAACCGTATTTCAAAGTATATATTTCACGAATAGAGCCTAGCGTTACATGTTGCTTTGTCTTCGGATTCATCAACTAAAACGATATTCAATAGTCTTTGATTAGTAATGTCACACCCTTGGTGAGATCAGATATCTAACTCTAAGAAGAACATACGATCTTTTAGTCTTCAAAACAATTGACGAAAACACACACACACACACACACACACACACACACACACACACACACACAGACAGACAGGGCGGTAGGGGTAGCCTTGTGGTTAAGGCGTTCGCTTGTCACGCTGACAACTCGGGTTCGATTCTCCAGATGGGCACAATGTGTGAGGCTCATTTCTGGTGTCTCCCACCGTGCTATTGCTGGAATATTGCCCAGTGCGGCGTAAAACTAAACTCGCTCACTCACTCACACACACACACACACACACACACACACACACACACACACACACACACACACATATGACATATTCTTAAACATTGTAAAATAACTTGATAGTGTTTAAGTGTGTAGATGTACTAGACACAAATGAAGATGTCCATGCATAATGGTAATCGATACCTCTATATGAGAGCATATTTTACAGAAAACGCCGAAAGAGACGTTTCCGGAGCACCAGCTCCTTCCGGACCACCCAGGAATATCTGGATGCTTATGACCCTCCCTACGCAACTGTCCAGGACCAGAGACCCTCAGGGAAGGCCATCCGAGTGACCCGTTCGATGTCCAGTCAGACAATTCAGAGGTCCTTCTCACCTCCCTCTGGGCACAAGCTGTACCCGAGGTCGACGTCGATGAGGAGTCTCCGCGACAGGCCCCCCATGGCTCCTCCACCCCCACCTCGCATGTCCCCGGCAATGAGCTACAGCCAGGGTAAGACCTACAACCAGTGCTATTCCAGGCTGAGTCGAACTCCCACCGTGCCCAGAAGTAATCTGGAACAGCTGGAAGCTTTTCTGGAGTGGCCGGAACCGGAAGTGACGTCTCCTTCAAGGATGGGGTCTGTGAAAGAGTCAACTGAGGGATCCGGGTATGCCTCTCCTTCATTACTGAACTCCCTGTTTCGTGTGGAATCCCAAGGGAGTGTTAAATCGCAAAGAGGGTCTCCCCAAGCCTACGGATCTATGCCCAGATCGGACAACAGCTCCGGACCGTGTCTAGGATCTGTATTTGAGAGTGAGGGCTCGGTGACTGAGTCTCTTCTAGTAAGAGGGGACACTGCATTACCCCCAGCAATGCCTACTCAGGACTTGCTCGGATATGCTGAAGCATCTCTTTCTCTTCTCAGTGAACATAAAGGAGACGAAAATCACAATGAGTTTGAGAGTAACACTCCTGATGTACTTACTTGAGCATCAACTGGAGGATTCCTGACAATTCCATAAGGGCAAAAACCGTGTATTCACACTGGCACCAGGCTAGCCATTGCCGCTACACAGGAAGATGATGGAACCATTACAACATCAAGGAGTCTGGATAGGTTTATGTACATTCAGTGGTGTTTTACACATACACGTCCATGTAGAACGTTAGCTTTTCTATACGTTCCTCAACAACAAGTTCCAAATCGAACAGTATGTTTTACGTAAGCGTATATTCATTGAAGCCTAATGTGCTCCGGTTCTGCGAACCACTGTCGAGTTATATATAGGACTTATATCGCAGTTGTTTTAGGGAAAACGAGGACGACGCCTCAATCAAAAAGAGCAAAAGGGTATTTCGAGATGAAGGTGTTCAAGTTATAGATGACTTGTTGGATTTCTTTTTCATTTTGATTTGGCTTGGATCCTTTATTGAGGATGATACAGTCAACGTTACACAGCGAATCACTGCCGTTGTTTACTTTTGTGGTTTTTCGCTGCTTTTGTTCACTGCCATATGTGAGTGAGTGAGTGAGTTTAGTTTTACGCCGATTTTAGGAATATTCCAGCAATATCACGGCGGGGGACACCAGAAATAGGCTCACTGCCATGCCACTCATGCTTCCACCAGATATTGGTGTGAGAATCCAATCATCAACTAGTACACAACGCTCAGTATTACATGTATCCCATTAGCTCGATTTTCCGAAGCCAACAGTTTCAGATCAAAGTACCCTGGATCGATTTTGAAAAATATGACAGTATCGAGTGCAGAAATGTGACTGTGGCTCCCACAAGCGAGAGTGTCATAGGGTAGGCGTGACACCTAGTGCCATCACTATCTTTACAGTTTTTAACGAGAACAAGATCTTGGGTATATTTCTTTGGACTCAGTCAATGGTCATTGATATGTCAGCACCATATCCGTGCTTGCGGGTTTCACCAGGGTTGTAAACACCTGAGACCTGCCTCACTTCGGGCTTCCCACCAATATTACTTCCAGGCCTGAAATGATTGAACTACTGTTTGCATCGGTATTGATTCTCTCCCATCTTTCAGTGAAGTGAAGATCTCTTGACAATACCTTGTATTAAACAGTAGCTTCAGAGTCACATGTGCCGGGCGTGTACACCGATTCGATATATACTTCCCATCAAAGTTTAGACTCACTAGTGTAAATATAGCCACTTACTTCAAGCAACTGTTCTAAACTAAATTCTGAAAAATATCCCATACTGTTTAAAGGTTTTAAATTTTAAAAATCAGTGGAAATTGGCGAATTCTAAATAAAACTTCACACCAAAACGCAGCTGTTCACATGCACGATATTTGCATGTTTTTCAGCAATTTCATGCATTATCCTCGTGCATAAGGTTGCATATGGTTCCCCCAAGTTAGTGGAGGAATTTTCTTCGATGTAACCATATATATATATATATATATATAACATATAGTGACTGTATTAAGTGAGTCTAAACTTTTGATGGGAAGTTTATTAAGCACATCTGTCAGATATTAATTCATGTAATATTATCATGTTTATGAATGTTTACGTTCCCCGTTGTAAGAGTATGTAACGTCCACTGCTACAAGCAACGACACTTCTATCACAGTATTACATGTGTAGAAAAATATATATTTGCAAATGAAATTGTGTATATATGTACATATTATTACACGGGAGTGGCGGATAAATTTCCGCAAGGTCCATATTAACCGGAATGATATTGTCTCAATGTGTTTAGTAGTGCTGGCAAGTAGTGTGAGGAGGGATATGTGTGTGAGTGTCAACTTAAACGAGTATGTATATTGACATAACAGATGTATGAAGAAAATGTACCTGTAGTCAAAACCTAAAAGCTATAAAAAGGTCATGAAAATTTTAAAATTGTTTCTCATCATCGCCTTGACGATTTACAGCTGTGTGTGTGAATTGTATTAACACTATCGATCACTAATAGATTTGTCCGGTGCAAATATCAGTTTTATGATGGTCCGGATTTAAACAGAAAGATTATCTGGCCTGAATAGTGCCGCCGTTGATGGTGGTGTGTTCCAAGGCATAAATGTGTGGAAAACTTAATATCACAATCATTGTGAGATAAGCTTACTGTGAGAAACGGTTTATTGTTTTGCATGGCCTAATGTTGCCTTAAGTGCACCGAGGAGAGCTTTCATTTCCGGCGTGTGCGTTTATTGCTTGTTATTAAGCAAGACATCTGTCGGGAGTGTAACCAGACTTGTTCAAGTTTAGAGAGCCAAGATCATCATAATGTCTTACGTGAAATGTACATCCAATTGACCGATTTTACGAAACGTGCTTTTGTGCGTTCAGCTGTTAAATTCTTCTTCCTTTTTTATTAATTCAATAAACAATGCAAATATGTGTTTTGTTGTGTTGTCTCTGAGAACTAGTCAGTTGAATAATCAGTCGTTTTGGAAACTGTTCCATACAATTTGTAAGTAAAAACTACGTATTTTATCACTTAACATAAGTAGAGGATTGTTGTCTCCAAACTGCCTCCGAGGTGTAGTCGCTGTGGATAGAGCAACTGCCCCGTAAGTGGTAACTCCCTGGTAAAGACAGGGGTTTAAAAAATCCCATCGCCCGACGCCCGGGACAAGTCAGTTTTCATTTCGGGCAATCAAATAATGGTATCTTACTTGTTCGTGGGCTACTAGATAATTTCCACTTATGGTTTCAAACTGCAAATAAACTTGGTTTTAATTTCATATCTGCTCAAAATGTAGCTATTAAATTTTGCAATGATAATAAAGTAGAGTTATCTTTCTTTGCTATTTATCACTTTTCAATAAATAGTCCAGTAAACATTAACATCAAATACCATGTTGATTTATTCTTTCATAATTACATCATCATGATTATGTCATAAAATCGGGGCAAGTGGAAAATTAGTCAGTACAAGTTACTTTCTTAAAGTCACTTGCCCTGTGGCAAGTGGCTTTTTAAAAAGAACCCCTGAAAGATCATAAACGATGGTATTTCTTGTTACCCCTGCCTGGTGGACGGCTTTAACGAGTTGAAACAAGGTGTGGTCAGCTCGGAGTCGATATACTGTGTCTGGGTGAATATCAGTGTTAAACTGTAGAATGGTTCTTCATTTTGCCAGCTCTGTATAAAACTGGCATTTTGTCTGTACTAGCAAAATCACACACAAACAGACGCACATGCACACACACGCTCTCTGTCATGCACGCATGTGTTCCCTCATACTAATTCACCAATTACGATAAACAAAGGTTGGTGGGAGTCAGAAGCTTTCTCTCTCTTGTTTCACACAGTTCTTTTTCCAGTTAACTTGTGGTTTCAACTTGGCTGTCGACACATACAATACACATATACAAGCTAAAGTGCAGCATTCTCTGGCAATGCTTCTACCGTTGTAGTCGATTGATTTGGAATGTTTGATAAGCATACATCAAAGCACACATCAACACGATCTATCCCGCCTATCTACAATTGCTAGTTCCCTCTATCTAATTCACCAAATACGATAAACAAAAGTTGGTGGGGGTCAGAAGCTCTCTCTCTCTCTCTCTCTCTCTCTCTCTCTCTCTCTCTCTCTCTCTCTCTCTCTCTCTCTCTCTCTCTCTCTCTCTCTCTCTCTCTCTCTCTCTCACTCACACACATAAGTTGCTCTATGTAAAATATTGCTTGATTTTGGCGTCAACCAAAATTCTCTTTCTCTCTTCAACGTTACCGTTGCTAGTGTGGCTTGGGATGAAATGTTGGTGTGATCTGGATGGGGGTGTGGAGAAGATGGTGATATGATTATATATCTGTTAATAGTTTGCGTATGAAACTGAAGGTGAAATGTACAGAAATCTATGACTTTATGGCACGAAATGTACAAAACTGTAAGGAAAAGCAAATGTTCACACCATTTCCAAAGTTGAAACCAGTGCAACAGTGACGCGTAAGTATATAATTTCATCTAACTGTCTCACGTCCCACCTATCTACATTATAAAGCCAGTTGATTGCACCATTTAAGATAGAAATATCCAACAGCAGACCATCAGGCTCCCACCGTCTCTGTATGTTCGCCTGCTTTACCAAAGGGACACCAACTGCCACAGTCTCGGTTTCAAAATCGTTATTATAAACGCAGTTTTCGGCTCTGTGAGCTTGTGTTACACGCAACACAGCCACAAAGCAAACACAACCACCACTTCCATCCCTTGCTATCCTTTAATCCTTTTTGTTAGCAAGCGGATCAGTTCCAGGAGATTGGCTGACCTTTGAGAGAGGGAATATTATCTGCGGTGGATGGCCAAAACCTAACCTGGTAATGAACTAGAAGAAAGCTGTGTATCAGGAGCATGTTTGCACGGACAAAGATTTTGGAACTGACGTGTTTGTGTTAAGATGATCAAACTTTCCTAGTTATTGTTGAAAAGAGTTATATATTTGTAAATGTAGATGTGTTTTTTCAATATATTTTGTTGACTAGACGGTTCATTATATGCATTGTCGGTGATTTGCTATTCCTTCCTGTCCGTTGTGAAAAACTGATACTTCACATACCGTATTCATCATGCTAATCACATCAAAAGGAAGTATATAGATGTCTCATATAAAGATAAATATCACGGAATTAGTATCCGATCATAAAGAAATCGAGAACTCAGATCTATTCTTTATTTAAAAAATATCCTTTTTTGCAACTTGGCCAGAAATATGTATTCTCCTTCCGCAATCACCGCTCCCAGCCCACATAATATATCCCAACATATCAGTTGGCCGGTGCCTAGAGATCTCTCTCCTTCACTCACTATTCGGGGTGGTAGAGTAGCCTAATGGTTAAAGCGTTGGCTCGTCACGCCGAAGACCCGGGTTCGATTCCCCACATGGGCACAATGTGTGAAGCCCATTTGTGGTGTCCCCCGCCGTGATGTTGCTGGAATATTGCTAAAAGCGGCGTAAAACCAAACTCAGTCAGTCAGTCAGTCACTGTCTATTCACTTCAGTTAGGGGTGGTTGGGTAGCTAAGTGGGTTCGCTCGAAGACCCGGGTTTGAGTCCCTACATGGGTACAATGTGTGAAGGTCATTTCTGGTGGTATTGCTAAAAGCGACGTAAAACCGTACTCATTCGCAGCAGTCAGTCAGTAACTTGATGCACGGCTCCTACACTGTCAGACATTTGGTTGTACAGGTCCATGGGTGATCAAGTACATTTAACTAAGTGAACGCACTCTTAGTTCGTGTTTCCACTTGGGATTTCGGGTTCCTTGTTTACCCGACAAATACACTGGGCAGTATTCCGTGTGATTATTGACAACTGAATTCTATTGTTTATAAGAATGTATTGTTAATGAGCTCAAGGTAACGTCCTGACACCTCACACACTACACACAATCATTTCTATTAGCTCTACCAAGTGACGCTTATATATCTCCCGAATACATAATTAAGAAAACGTCTTGAAACTAGAAATATCCTAGCAGAGCTCTGGCGCGGTTTGTTTCCATTCCCATTTCCACAGTGTCAGTAACCCCTGAGTATTCAGCGCCTCAAAACACACACACACACACACACACACACACACACACACACACACACACACACACACACACACACACACACACACACACACACACACACACACACACACTTACACAGACACACACTTACACACACACACACACACACAAATAAATATATATATATTTATTTATTTATTCATTTATCCATTGGGGATTCAGCGCCACAAAACAAACATTCTTTCATTCATTTATAAAGCGTTTTCATCACGTCTCAAACCCGGGTTTCATTCGGCCCACGGGTACAATGTTTCAAGATTATTGTTTGATATTGCTAACATATCACATGTCACTCACTCACTCACTCAATGGGCAACATGGAAGGTAGTTGATACATTAGGTCTAACCTCTTTACACTCTGTCGTCGGATTAGTGCACATGCTGCGTTTTCCACCAATCAGAGCAATATTTCAATTGTATCCTGGCGTGTCAGTATCTTGATTTTGGGAATCGAACCCGTGTCTTCGTCGTGACGATCGAACACTTTAACAAAAAGGTGATTAGCACTAACAGGCCGTTACTTAAACAATTTGTAAAACACATTGAAATGTATTTCGTCCATCTAAACTTTTTCCATGACATTAAGCGTGAGATAACTCTGTCGCTTTAACCACTGAGCTATCCATCAGCAGTGTAATGGCCGGCCTGCACTTTCTTGGTTCAAC